CAGGACCAGAGGAGATACCTGAACAGCCAGCTGAGGTTAAGGAAGCACTCCACTGTAACTGCAAGATCGGGTGCATGGCTTGCCAGAACATCTAATAAGCATGAGGCCGGAACACACCATAACAACTGGATCTGATATAATAGATAGCCAGGACAAGCACTCGGCAGGGCTGTAGAGCTGAACTGAAGCAGGAAGCATAGTCAGAGTAATAGCTAGGGTAAGCAACGAGCAGGTGATGAGGTATCGGAACATCAGACAGGCATGTGGTCAGGAGGAAGCCAGGATCAGGAACCGATGAGCAGAAGCAAAATCAGAATCCAAGAGCAGGTCAATGGCAAGCGGAACAGTAATGGATAACACACAGGATACAGCAGGACACAGGGAATAGCGGAGTAAGAGCCTCCTTTAAATAGTCCATCTGGCGCCAGAAACTGTGGGCATGCATTCTTTCACGCATGCGTGAGCCTATGCTCAATTTTATTAGCAATGCGCCTGTGCTCATTTCTATGCGCGATGTTGGGTGCATTCGCATTTCTATGCGCCAGTCGCAGTACAGGAATTCCCTTACACTATGGCTTAAAAGGAGTAAGACGGTATTTTGCAGACTGGAGTGAGATTAGATGAGAATAGATTGCCGAATAGTTATCCCAACATAGTAAAATTTCTAGAAAGGAGCGCTGGAAGGGATGTTGTTTTGGAGAATAGCACATCCAGAAGAAGGTCACCAGCTGATGGTAGTAAAAGATATGAGATCCTGGTAAGGAGTATTTGACAGCTAGTACTGAAAAGAGCTGGAAGGTATGTTTGGTATCATCAAAGATGGGTATGACTTTAGTAAGTCTGCTATGAGACCAGTGGGTAAATGCTGCATGCTCACTTGCTGGAGGAAACATAGAGTTTCTAAGAATAGGCAGGTGAGAGGATATCCTTAGTGGTAGGCCAAGTAGTTTCCGTATTTCCCTCCAGGCCAATGCTGTGTCTCTGATCAGGAGATTCGATTGGAGAGATTGAGGTAAGGCCTTGAGGGTTAGAATGCAGAATGGCTGAAAGGTGTAGCAGAGACACCAGGGCCCCCTCCAGGGAATAGTTCAGATAACATGATTTCCTAGTGATCCAATCAAGACATTGACGGAGAAGGCAGGACAGGTTGTAAAACCTAATATTTGGCAGGTCTGCACCTCCCTGAGTCTTTGAGAAACTAAGCTTTTGCAGTGCAATACACATTTTTTTACGCTACCACAGAAACGTCTGTAGAGCCCTATGAATCTTCTGAACATCAGAATGTTTTAACAGAACAGGGAGTGTTTGCATAGAAAAGAGCACTCCTGCAAAAGAGACCATTTTGTAGAGATGACATCTCCTAAAGAGTAAAAGAGAGGAAGAGTTGTCCAAACTTCCAGTTCCTGTAAAAGCTTGTTGATTAAAGGAGGGTAATTTAGGTAATAAAGAGACGATGGTTCTTTGCTTATGCAGATGCCCAAATACGTAATGGATTGAGTAGCTATACCAAAGGGAGAGGAAGGAACTCAAAGCGTAGATTGTAAGGGAGTACTTCACGCTTATCAAAATTGATTCTTAGGCCGGAGCATTTACAGAAGGTCACAAACAGGTCCTGAAGTAGTAGGAAGTCTTTGGGTGGATCTGAAAAGAACAATACTAAATCATCCGCAAAGAGAGCTGAGAGTAAGGTCGCCAATCGTGACACCACTAACCCCCGATGTCAAATTGAGCAGTCTGCACAAAGGTTCAAGGGTGATGTTAAAGAGCAGGGGAGAAAGCAGGCAGCCCTGCCTGCTGCCTTTGGTCAAGGGAATGCTCGGGGAAATAAAGTCAGGTGTGACTAATCTAGCTGAAGGCGAAAAGTCCAAAATGGGGCCCCGAAAAACCAAGCCCCTTCATAACCAGGAAGAGCCAGGCAAAGCTTATGTTGTTGAAGGCTCTAAAGATATAAGTGCTAGATCCATCTGTGGGTTTTGTTTGAGCATATTCAGGGCTAATAGTACTTTGCGAATGTTAAGCGTTGCTGAACGACCAGGCAGGATTGGGCCAGATGTATTTCGGGAAGCAGTAGGGCCCAACCTGGATGCCACGATTTTGGAAAAGTATTTTGGCATCTACATTGATTATAGGGAGATTACAGAGATAGGTCGGTACGAACCTGGGAGCAGTGGGTCTTTCTCCTTCTTAGCTAAGAAGAGGGAATGACCATGTGACCATATAACAGTGCTACAAAATAAGGTGCTTACAGGATTTAAAAAAGAAAAACAAAACTGCATTGGCATGATATATATGAATAAATTATGGCAATTAACACTTCTGTTTAGTATCACTTTAACCCTCTGTGCGCCGGAAGTTCAGAAACAGAAAGAGGATGGGGCATCCCTGAAGTGAAGTTTTCTACAGGATCCAGCTGACTACATGATTTGGAGCCTACTACTTTACAGGTACGTTAAGTCACTAAAGCTGTGGAGCTAAAAATAATTCAGCTAAACCTCAACTTTAAAACAATTCTAAGGGTTACTTTTTTGGGGGGAAAATTACAAACATGCTATACTTACCTGCTGTAGGCAGTGTTTTTGCACAGAGCAGCCTTGATCCTCCTCTTCTCAGGTCACTCGAAGGCTCTCCTGGCCCCTCGCTCCTGTCGGGTGCCTCCACAGCAAGCAGCTTGCTATGGGCAGGGGTGTCCCTAGGGTTGGTGTCACCCGGTGCGGTAACACTTGGTGTCACCCCTCCGACAATCCCCGCAGGATGGATCAGATCTGCGGACTGAGCATAATAGATTGGAGTCTGATCCATTATGATCCCCAATCTGCAGATCCGATCCATTTTGCGGGGATCGTCGGCTTGGAACCTATACGGGGATAACTGATCTTTCAACACCAGTCTGGTCTGCACATGCTCCAGAAGTGATGTCAGATGGAGGAGGTTCCTGCTATCGCGGCCGCATTTCCTGGTTACAGACAAGTCCCGGGATCTTGCACAGCCTTACCTAGATCAGTTAACCCCGTATAGGTTGCAAGCCGACGATCCTCGCAAGATAGGGAGCATAATGTATTGGACTCCAATCCATGATGCTCAATCTGCAGATCTGATCCATCTTGCGGGGATTGTCGGCTTGCTTTAAAACTTTCCTTTTAGTGGAGCTCGTGGAGAGGGTCCGGTGTCACCCGGTGTGGCGCTCACCCCCGCACACGCCTAGGGGTGCCACTGGCTATGGGGGCCCTCGCTACTCCGTATGTCCATTCACACGGCTTGGCCCTGCCCTTCATTGGCTGACTGGTTATGATTGATAGCAGTGGGAGCCAATGGCTCCCGCTTGCTGTCTCAGCCAATGAGGAGGCAGAGACCCAGGACAGACGAGGCTGTTGTTCACATCGCTTGATAGCGATGGCTAAGCTAAGTATTGAGGGGGCTGCACACAGAAGGTTTTTTACCTTCATACATAGAATACATGAAGGTAAAAAAACCTTGAGCCTTCACAACCACTTTAATAAAGGCTGCAGTTAGCTCAAAAACTAAAAGAAATCTGAACTGAGGAAATGTGTCAGGAATGGACTTGCCAGTAATGGTGGGATTCACCTGCCTTGTGGGCTGCAGTACCAGGGCTGGCCAGCAGGTGCTCCCAGCAATCAGAGACTCAACCCTGCAGCCAGCCAAACACCTGAAGTTGATTATACAGGTGTATTTAAGGGATGGCCAGACCTGCAGTCTCTGCCTTGGTGTGTGGTTTTCCTGGGCCCTGTATCTTGTTCCTGCATCCCTGTTCCTGGCTCTGTCTGATTCGTTGCTGACCCTGCCTGATCCGGACCTGGTGACTTCTCCTGTTTCATCCCTGGCTTGTGACCCCGACCATTCTCTGCCTGACCCCCTGTACCTACCTGCCCGATTGTTATTGACCCGGCCTGCCTGACGACGCTTGCACTGTATGTATTGTTATCTGTGGGTGGTTTGGTTTGGTTCGTCTGCACTGTGTTATGTTTTAGTATTGCACTGCGTTTGTTTGTATTGTTAGTCTTTAATAAATTATATTGTTTATAACGTATCTGAAGCCTGCGTTTCCCTGCGTCAGTCACACACCTCTGGTCATACCCGGGAGCCCTGACATTACACCAAGGCCAATCCTGACCAGAAGTGGCTGCACAGGGAAGCCATCTTGGCTTGTTGCTGGGAAGGATGGATCTTGATGAGGTTGTGTATTTATCTCTGCTAGTGTTTGATGACAGAGAGTATGCTTATCAAACTCTGAAGGAGTATCCCAGGGATGAACTGCTAGAATGTATACGGATCGCTCATGTTCTAGTAGATCAGGGCACAGAATTCTCTGAGGTGCAGCCATTGATTCAGGTTTGTGCTGAGTTGGTTTCATCTGGTACCCCCGAATGCAGGGATGAATTTTTGCCGCCATTTAGTGCCGACCAGGTAGAGTCCCTGGTATGGTTATTAGAGGATGATGTGGATTACTTTCTGGAGCGTTATTCTGCATGTTCACCACAGGTACTAAGAGATTGTATAAACGCAGTGCAGTCATTGACCAGACAGGCTTTGTGTAAGCTGAGCTTTGTTCAACCCATACTGCAGACATGGTCAGACTTGTTGCACCCAGCCTCAGTCAGCTTACAACATCATTCCTCCACTCAAGGCATTCTTCCTGCATCCCCGACAGCACCCCCAGTGACTGTCCAGTATACTCTATCTACCACATACCAGTCCTCTGCTCCCACTCGCTGCACCTATCCTTTCTTTAACCCTGTAAAGAAGTCCTCTGTAGCAACTGCTCCCTCCTCTGTTCCATCTTCCAGCTCTTCTCTGTCCTCAGCTGCTCCATTCGTTTGCAGACCTGCGTTTACTTGCAGTGCCCCAGTAGTTAAAACCAGAAAAAAGCGGAAATTCTTTCCAACCAGTACCATCCTGCCAGTATCCAAACCGGTGAGCCTGCCGTCTGAGAACCTGCCTTCCGTGGTTCAGCCTGGTGCCTCGGCACCCGCACTTCAGCCTGATGCCTGTACCCAGCCTGATGTCTGTACCCAGCCTGATGAACCTATCACGCCTGATGACCCAGTGCCCGCTGTCGAGCCAGACGATCCGGTACCTGATGACCCGGTGCCCACTGTCATGCCTGGTGACCCGATGCCCGCTGTCGAGCCAGACGATCCAATGCCTGATGACCCAGTGCCCGCGGTCATACCTGGTGACCCGATGCCCGCTGTCGAGCCAGACGATCCAATGCCTGATGAACCAGTGCCCGCTGTCATGCCTGGTGACCCGATGCCCGCTGTCGAGCCAGACGATCCAGCGCCAGATGACCCGGTGCCCGCTGTCATGCCAATTGACTCAGAGCCCACTGTTGTGCCTGGTGACTCGGTGCCCACTGCCTTGCCAGATGACGTGGTGCCCGCTGTCGAGCCAAATAACCTGATGCCTGGTGACCCGATGCCCGCTGTTGGGCCAGACGATCCAATGTCTGACCCAGTGACCACGGTCATGCCAGTTGACTCGGTGCCCACTGTCGTGCCTGGTGACTCGGTGCCCACTGCCTTGCCAGATGACGCGGTGCCCGCTGGCGAGCCAAATAACCTGATGCCTGGTGACCCAGTGCCCGCTGTCATACCTGGTGACCCGATGCCCGCTGTCGAGCCAGACAATCCCATGCCTGATGACCCAGTGCCCGCTGTCATGCCTGGTGACCCGATGTCGGGCCAGACGATCCAATGTCTGACCCAGTGCCCGCGGTCATGCCAGTTGACTCGGAGCCCACTGTCGTGCCTGGTGACTCGGTGCCCACTGCTTTGCCAGATGACGTGGTGCCCGCTGGCGAGCCAAATGACCTGATGCCTGGTGACCCAGTGCCCGCTGTCATGCCTGGTGACCCGATGCCCGCTGTCGAGCCAGACGATCCAACGCCAGATGACCCGGTGCCCGCTGTCGATCCAGACGATCCGGTACCTGATGACCCGGTGCCCGCTGTCGTGCCAATTGACTCAGAGCCCACTGTCGTGCCTGGCGACTCGGTGCCCACTGCCTTGCCAGATGATGCGGTGCCCGCTGTCGAGCCAAATGACCTGATGCCTGGTGACCCGATGCCCGCTGTCGAGCCAGACGATCCAATGTCTGACCCAGTGCCCGTGGTCATGCCAGTTGACTCGGAACCCACTGTCGTGCCTGGTGACTCGGTGCCCACTGCCTTGCCAGATGATGTGGTGCCCGCTGGCGAGCCAAATGACCTGATGCCTGGTGACCCGATGCCCGTTGTCGTGCCTGATGACCCGGTGCCCGCCGCTCCGCCTGGGGGCCCGATGCCTGTTGCTCCGCCTGGGGGCCCGATGCCTGTCGCTCCGCCTGGGGGCCCGATGCCTGTCGCTCCGCCTGGGGGCCCAATGCCTGTCGCTCCGCCTGGGGGCCCGATGCCTGTCGCCCCTCCTGGGGGCCCGGCGCCCGCTGCTCCGCCTGGGGACCCGATGCCTGCCGCCCCTCCTGGGGGCCCGGCGCCCCCGCCGCTCCACCTGGGGGCCCGGCGCCCGCCGCCCCTCCTGGGGGCCCGATGCCCGTCGCCCCTCCTGGGGGCCCGATGCCTGTCACCCCTCCTGGGGGCCCGCTGCCCGCTGCTCCGCCTGGTGGTGCCCACTGCTCCGCCTGGTGGCCCAGTGCCCGCTGCTCCGCCTGGTGATCCGGAGTCCAGCCCGGTGTGCCGCTGCCCGGAGTCCAGCCCGGTGTGCCGCTGCCCGGAGTCCAGCCCGGTGTGCCGCTGCCCGGAGTCCAGCCCGGTGTGCCAGTCTTTGATATCCTGCCAGTTACCAGACCCGGGCGGTGGAACATTTTGCCCAGCTAGGACTGTTTGGAGCATCCTGAGGCCGCTCCTTGAGGGGGGGGTACTGTCAGGAATGGACTTGCCAGTAATGGTGGGACTCACCTGCCTTGTGGGCTGCAGTACCAGGGCTGGCCAGCGGGTGCTCCCAGCAATCAGAGACTCAACCCTGCAGCCAGCCAAACACCTGAAGTTGATTATACAGGTGTATTTAAGGGATGGCCAGACCTGCAGTCTCTGCCTTGGTGTGTGTTTTTCCTGGGCCCTGTATCTTGTTCCTGCATCCCTGTTCCTGTTCCTGTCTGTCTGATTCGTTGTTGACCCTGCCTGATCCGGACCTCTGCTGACTTCTCCTGTTTCATCCCTGGCTTGTGACCCCGACCATTCTCTGCCTGACCCCCTGTACCTACCTGCCCGTTAGTTGCTGTACCCGGCTCGTGACCTGACTACTCTCTGCCTGCTCCTCCTGTTCCTACCTCCCCGATTGTTATTGACCCGGCCTGCCTGACGACGCTTGCATTGTATGTACTGTCATCTGTGGGTGGTTTGGTTTGGTTCGTTTGCACTGTTGTATGTTTTCGTATTGCACTGCGTTTCTGTTTGTATTGTTAGTCTTTAATAAATTATATTGTTTATAACTTATCTGAAGCCTGCGTTTCCCTGCGTCAGTCACATACCTCTGGTCACACCCCGGAGCCCTGACAAAATGTATGACCTCAATGTGAAAAAGACATGTTGACTTGAATGCTTAGAGCAGAATGATCCACAAGGCAACCTAAGAAGGGCCCTAGGATTCAGGGGATGTCCAAAGGGTTCAGCTACAACCTTCTTGCTCTTGTAGTAAACCAAAAGGGATAAGGGAAGATGCACTAGCAATTGAATGCATTTCACACAGCAAGCCATGTCAGTGAGTATAATTATATGCTATTATATGCAATTATATGATAAAAGTCAAAATCCCAGCACTGCTCCTAATTTCCTAATCCCAGAAAAAACACCATAAACCATACAGCAGCTACCACTAAAAATGTGTAGTCACCTCACATAAATCAAAAACAGAATAAAGTGCAATAAAGTGAGGTGCTTTATAAAATATGAATATGCTTCATTATATTGCACATTGTAATGCAAATAATGATTTATTACTTACCTTTAAAATCATTTTCTTGGAGTACAGTATGGCACAAGGGACTTACCGTAGTTCTAACTATGGGTTATAGACAGTGCGACAGTGTGAGGCCCTGCTAGACATGTGCAGTTTGTTTCATTTTGAATATAAATTCCTGAGAAATTTTTAGTTATTCATTGATTCTTTTCTGGTATGGATTTTAAGGGGAACCCCACTCCAAAATACAAAAACACCAAAATCCCTACCAGACCCTTATCCGAGTATGTACCCCGGCAGGCCAGGAAAGGGGAAGGGACAAGTGAGCGACCCCCTCCTGAACCATACAAGGCCACATGCCCTCAACATGGGGAGTGCTTTGGAGCAGGGAGCCTCTTCCCCACAACCCTTGCCCGGTGGTTGTGGGGGTTCTGCAGACGGAAGACTTATCAGAATCTGGAAGCCCCCTTTAACAACCCCCAGATCCTGGCTCCGCATGAGAATGAGTCAGTGGGTAAATGTCATTAACCATATGAAAAAAATACCCCATAAAAACACTGACACGCATGGAAAAAAACAAACCCGCCTCCTGCCAAATGCAGCACCTCCTGCCGAATGCAGGGAGTCATGCTGCATGACAGGTAAACATGGGGGGGAGGTCACCAGATGACATCAAGAAGGTAAGTTCGTTTTGACAAGGAGTTCCCCTCCAAATACAATTGGGGGGAACTCCAAATTTACAAAATGAATGCTGGAGATAGGAAACAAATTCCAAAATTCCGAAAACAAATTAGTTCAACATAACATATGAGGGGTATTCAAAAAGTTTCCGCACTTTCTTACTAAATATATTTTAAAAAAGTGTGTAAACTTTTGAAAAAGCCTTGTATTTACGTAGTTATGTTCGACCAATTTGTTTTCGGAATTTCGGAATTTGTTTCGTATCCTCTGCATTCATTTTGTATATTCAGAATAGAACTATGACTAATCTGCTGTCAGCAGAATTCCCTGCTGATAGAAGAATATAAACAACAATGCCAGCTTTAAAAATTATTTAAAAAAACAGTATGGGAGTCCTCCCCACCAATCCTTACCAGGCCTGAGGATCTGGTATGGATTTTAAGGGGAACCACACACTAAATTTTTAAAAAATGTGTGTGGGGTCCTCACAAAATCCATACCAGACCCTTATCCGAGCATGCAGCCCGGAAGGCCAGAAAAGGGGAGGACAAGTGAGCACACCTCCCCTCCTGACATCACCTGATCACCCCACCCTCATGTTTACCTGTCATTCAGCGTGGATCCCTGGACAGGAAACGCTGCATTCAGCATGAGGCAGTTTTTTTTTTCCGTGTAGGCTGGCGGTTTTTGTTTTTCATTCAGTTAATGACAATCGACCAATGACTCATTACCCTGCACCACACTAGGCCACACGTCGCCAACATGAGGGAGTACTTTGGGGCAGGGGGGCTCCCTCAAAGCACCTTGAGGCCCGATGTTAATGCGGACAAGGGCCTCTTACCTACAACCCTTGCCGGTGGTTGTAGGGGTCTGCTTATCAGAATCTGGAAGCCCCCTTTGACAAGGGGGTCCTCAGATCCCGGGTTCCCCCATGTGAATGAGTATAGGATACATAGTTCCCCTACTCATTCACCAAAAAATGTGTAAAAAATAAATAAGAACACAAACAGTTTTTTGCAAGTCTTTTAGAAAGCTGTGTGTAGTTCCCACAATGGTAAACAAAAGGACAGGGTCACCGGTGATAGCAGGGTCTAATATGGATTTTTTTTCTTTAATTTTGGTGTGGGTTTCCCCAAAAATCCATAATAGACCACGTGATTTGTTTTCAATTTTGGAGTGGGGTTCCCCTCAAAATCCATACCAGACCCAAGGGGGTTCATCTCCACTGTTGTTTTTTTTTTAATTTTTAAAGCGGTCACTGTTTACATTCTGCTCTCAGCGGGGAATCCCACTGACAGCAGATGAGTCATTTGTTCTATTCTGAATATACAAAACAAATGCCGAAGAGACAAAACTAATTTTGAAATTCCAAAAAGGAACTGGTCCAACATAATATTGAGTCAATATTTCATGTTGGACAAATTCATGTTAAGAATTTCAGTATTTCTGCCACATCTTCGGCATTCGTTTTGAATATCTGGAAAATTGGAAAAGCATTACATTAAAAAAACTAAAAAAAAAACAGCATGGGGGTCTCCCGCTCGCTCCTTAACAACCAGCTATTCTTCAGACAGAATTTGGATTGGAGAAAAGATTGGGGTCTCAGTATTTGCCAAGTTTTCAGGGCTCCCATTTTGAAACACAGGCTTTGTGTAGTGACAGGTGTGTGACCCTGTCTGGAGTACTCTATCCGAAAAACTGCACTCCAGGTTGGTGGGGTTCTATGTCCATAGGATTGAGAAAGTTGAGGCAGCTGAGCGAGACCAAAAGAGGATCTGGGACAACTAAGCAAGTCCATGGAACCTAGGTCTCAGAGGAGTGAGAAAGCCCAAAATGTCAGGAGAACTCCTATCTAAAACGTCAGCATTGGGCCCGTGCATCAAGGTGCTGTAACCATGTCTGAGTGAGCCAAGAGGACCAGAGGGGGCTGAGTGATACAGTCAAAGGGACTGGTAAGAAGGTGCTGCTAAAAGAGAGCCAGGGGGCTTAGTATTTTTACCTGTTCACTGTTATGCTTTGAGAAGTGCAAACCCCTGCATGGGTGAAATACTAACACAAA